ACCTATTTTTAGTCTTCTTCAACAACAAGACCCAAAAGACAACCCTTTCTGCAAATGGGTCTCCAGAAGAGATGATACTTAGATTTGGATTATGCCTCTCCTGGCATCTAAAATGGATCTTCCATATAGGTACTCTGTTGAATGCTATAGGTATTGTTTTGAAGACCCATTTTAAGTTTGAGTTCCACGATGAATCTCCCGTTGAAGACAGTCTAAGCTCTGCCAAACACACTCTAAGATCATGAGACCGATAGTAGAATCAAAGCACTACATGTGCTTGTTCGTATAACTGAAAATCACAAGCAGTCAAGCAGAGACGGTGGTACATCAAACATCTTGCGAGCACGACAACGATAGAGATTCCTGAGCTTGTCAAGCCAAAGGCAACGAGTGGAGAGCAGAAGAGGATCTTGACTTGTTCTTCTTGGATGTGATGCGCATGGCCACGCCCCTTCCTCCTCTGACCGGACCTGCACCAATGAAGCAGAAGCAGCAGAACAGAGCTATATGTGTATCCCGTGACTGATGCCGATGGAAGGAGCTCGGCCGGCCGTCAATGGGGGGCGCTAGCGCTAGTAGACGAGCTCCGGCAGTGCGGGAGCAGAGGCCTGCTGCTGCTGCACAAAATCAAGCGCTCGTACAAGCATGCTGTGCTGACCCTGAGCGGAGCTGGTGACAGAACGTAGGACACTAGCACTGAACGTAGGAAGCAGACCGTTAGTTTGGCTGTGGCTTGTCGTAAACGATCGTAAAATTTCAACTGAAACAGTATTTTTCTCTCACACAAACCAGCCAGCAGTATTTTTTTACGAACCAGCAACGATATGAATCAGCCAACCGAATAGTCAGCGGCAGGGAACCATGCATGCAAGCAGAGCTGTCAAACTGTGAATGTATTGCATGCGCTTTTTCCTTTTTTTTTCTCTCCTAGGTATATCAATTTAACTATGTGACTGTACAATTATCTAGCCTAGCACACACTATACAAAACTAGAGAGGTTTGGATTATGCAGCAAATGGATAGATGCAAACGAACTCGTTATTTCCTGACGGGATTTCTCGGCACCATTGGTTGGACGCTTACGCTAGCACAATGTAACGGCCAGAAGAGACTAGGGTTCACCACTATTCCTGTAGAGATTGTGATGATATAGTCTTGGTAAGCCTATACTTACTAAGACCATTAATAATTATAACTATTTTTTCGGCACAGCATGCTTATCTCCCCTGATGGGATTTCTCGGCACCATTGGTCGGACGCTTCTGATAGCACGGTCAGAAGAGACTAGGGTTCACCACTATTTCTTGCAGAGATTGTGATGATATAATCTTGGTAAGCCTATACTCCCTCCAGGTTGGTAAAAGAAGTCGTTTTGGACAAGGTTCGAGTCAAACATTAGGAATATAAATGCTCGCAAAAATAAACATTGGGAATATAAATCATGAATAACTTTTTAAGTTGTTGAGTTTAAAAATATAAGAGCTATATGAATAGATTTGTCTTGAAAAATACTTTTATAAAAGCATACATGTATCACTTTTCAATAAATATTTTTTTTATAAAAATAAGAAGTCAAAGTTATGCTTTTGAGACCGTGTCGTTGTCTAAAACGACTTCTTTTACCAACCTGGAGAGAATACTTACTAAGACCATTAATTATATATAACTCTTTTCTATTTTTAATGAAAAACGTTCTTAGACACGATGATCACAATAAAGGGCTAGCATTAATATACATTGGCTTGTGGTTGCAACCCTATTCTATATATACTAGGATGAAAGTGAAAACTTCCTTCGCCCATGCTCGATATGATTCAATTTATGAGTCCGCCACTACGACAACAGATGACGAGTGTAGAGATTCAAGGTGATCATACCTAAAGCCAAAAAATAAGTTTATTTTTGCATATAACATGCAAAATTAAGCTTATTTACAGGTTCACGGACAACCTGCCTTGCACCCTAGACAGGGACAGAGATGGACCATGGAGGTGATGGTTGCATACAACGAGATGCTGGCGGCAAATAATGACAGTGGTAGTAGCAAGATGAAATGACGGATATAACCTACCTCTTTTTATTTTTCTAATGGGTTCCGGCCGACAAAATTTTAGTTTTAGTCCACAACTTAGGTTCCTTCTAACATGTACCTTTTATCTTTTACCCCTCCAATGCAAATCGATAGATAGTTCTTACTTTTTTAACCTAAAATTTCTCAAAAGATCAAAGTGCTATATTTTTGGGAGGAGTCAAATTTTAGACATTCGACTATTGTCCTAGTTTGTTTTTGGTCCAAATCTAAAATTAAAAACCTCTAACCATCGAACTATCAATAATGAATAAATTTAATCATGCTGGTATCATGCTCTACCACATATTGATCATACTTAGGTATTACAACTAGTATGGAATAGCCCTCTAAAAATAATTTGGTTGATTGGATGGACAATATTTAGTACTCTATTTGGAGTATAAATTTCTCTTGGATTGTCTCAAGGATCAATAGCATAAAATGACGATTGAAATAAATATGATTACATGCAACAAAAGAATAGGAATAAATACAAATACAATCCAAATAACTACAAATCTAGCAGTAATACACATATTATATTTTTGAGGAAAGTCATGGACTGTTTTTTTATTTAAAATAAATTATTTATGATTCTTTAGAGGAAAATCTAATTGCTATTATTTTTATAAAATACAATACAATATTTGAAAAGTGAGCATACTCTCAAATTTTTATACCTTTGTTGCGTAGACAAAATGGCAACGCGATTGCGCGAATGCAATAAAAATTTGGACCAAATTCGTATCCTGAATATTATTTCTTAGGCAATCACCTCTCGTAGTCTCGTAAGCTTGGGAGTTTCGAACAAAAGTCGAAGGACGGATGCATCAAGCTTTTTGTAATCAAATTAGTACACGTTTGTTTCCCTCCAGGGCCCATTTTCTTTTGCTTCCTGCTCCAGAATCCATCCAAGCAAGGCTGCCCCGACCTTTCTGAGACGGTGTGGCCCCTGTCACTGAAAAAGGGCATATACATGGGCCGGGCCCACCGCCCGGAAAGCTCCAGCTGAATTGCACTTCGCAGTCCCCAAAGCTCCTGGCCATGAGGATGCTTTGCCTAGGGGACATTGGAAGCTTTACCAACCTGGCAGCATCATGACAGGGAGAAAATGCCGGCTGCAGCCTGCAGCAGCATCTTTCAGATAGTCAGAGGTTCAGGTTTTGAGGGTGTCATTGTTTGCAAGTTGTAATAATTAATAATGTGAGTTGATTAGGCATATTCCAACTCACTGTCTCCAAGAACCGTTACCCAAAATATAAGACACATTTCATGTTTGAGTAACGCTACAGGTAAATGGTTCAATACATTTTTTTTGTCTTTTCCAATAACAAGATCCAAAAGAGAATCCTTTCTGCAAATGGGTCTCCAGGAGAGGATACTCAGATTTGGGTTATACTTCTCCTGATACCCAAAATAGATATTTCATATAGGTACTATGTTGGAGGCTATAGATATTCTATTGAAGACCCATTTTAAATTTGGGTCTCCTATTGGAGACAACCTTATATCGTTTGAGTCTTCCTACCATAGTCAGCCATTGTTTATCAGCTTACCTCGGTTCTCATTTTGAACTGAGATGTACTACTTGCCACGAATACTAGAAATGTACATAACATAACATTAGCAATCTTGTATCTCTTAAACTATCATAGACGACTTTTGTTGATAAATGTTTATGCATACCATTGTGATTATATATGACTTGCGTCGACATCATTTCTATGATCTAATTATCTAGGATTATATGGGGTCTGAGACCCATAGATTCTAATGACATAACTTCTATGATTTATGCCCTGTTCGTTTCGCTAAAATTTAGCTGCTGCTGATGCTAATGCTGAAAAGTATTGCTGAAGTAGTGCTGAAAAACATGACGCTAATTATTTCGATACATGTTCTGAGAGATAGATTCATTTGGGTCCTAAAGCCTCAAAACCAAGGATTTTATGACTTACTCCTTCCATACTAAAGTAGTCGACATTTTAGTTATGAATTTGGACAAAATATGAGGTTTAGGGCATAGGGATTAGTTATTCTTAGGTTGTGTTTGCTTTAGCTTTAAAAAAATGTTTCGTCAATCAAAAAGAAGAACACCAATTAAACAAAGCTGCCTTCGTATAGTACAATTTTCATAATATCTTGAATCTTGCTTTTGGTTTCTTTCCGTTTTTCCAAAAGGATGAAGAGAGGTTTATTTACAACTGTTTCAAGGGAGACAAAAATAGTGTGAGTAAGTTAGTTGTTTTGACCAAATAGTTATAATTTTTTTTTTACCACACAGCGCACAACAGTTTTTTCACACCTCACAACTCGTAGTAACTTTTAGAGCTAAACCAACCAAACTCTAAAATCTTATAACTAGACTAGAGAATGAGCAACTTGAAGACATTTATTTTACTTTATCCAACAAACTCTAAATTTTGCACTGCGATTAGATCTACTTGCATGTTAAAATTTAAAGCATTGAACTATTTTTTTCGAGTCCGTTCAAAACTAAAATTACGATGAGGATTTTAGCATCACGGGTGTCCATAAAATGCAGCAAAAGTTTGTTTTTACTGACTGGATGGTACTTTAGCAACTCTCACTGGTTTGTAGGCAGCCTTTTGCAAATTGGCCAAGTTTTACTGTCAAATTTTACATAAAAAAAACTGCCGAATTCACATTGGAGAAATACCGCAAATAGAAAGGTGTTTTCCTCGAGAGATGGCCTGCCACTGCCAAACACCTCCGGGGCCGGGGGGAAACAAAAACAAAACAAGAGCTCCCGAAAGTCCCAAGAATAGAGTTGGATCTCGCCTTCTCCCTCTCGTAGATGTAGTCGTACCCAACGGCACCTTCCCTCACATTGTCCTAGCATGCTCGCCGGAGGAATCCCGCTACCGCGGCGGTAGCGGTGACGCATCGGGATCGACGACGGCAGCGATGGCGGCGGCGGCGGCGGAGTGGGACAGCCGGAGCGAGGCGAGCCCCGCCGGAGACTGGCCTCCGGCGGCCGCCGCGTCCCCGGTAAAGGGGAAGGCGGCGCTGCCGGAGTCGGATGCGGGCGCCTCGGTGTCGGGCTCGTCGGAGGCCAAGGTCGACGACGGCAACATCCAGGAAGCGGAGTCGTCGCTCCGCGAGGGCCTCTCCCTCAACTACGAGGTCTCGAAATCTCTTTGCCCCCTGCCGCTCGTTCTTGGCTTGATCGGGGAACGTGAATCCAGTTATTTATGGTGTGGTTTGGGCGAAATGGGGTGGGAAGATGGAATCTTTGTGGTGAATGCGAGTCCGTGCGGCGTTCTTTTTTGCTATTTGGGGGAGATCGGGATGCGGCGAAATTTCAGGCTCTGAAACTATACGCTCTCACAAAATGGCGTTTTTATGTTTGGTTCCTTTCATTTCATTTGGAACTTGGAAGGGGACTGCGTCTGGGAGATCGATGTTGGTTCTTTTCATGGGTCGTAGTGACCATCCTTATGTGATGTTTTTCAGAACATCGCGTGGATTGGTCTAGTTGAGCAGCATTTTTGGTTTAGCTATCCAGAATTTGTAAATGATGGAAATGATTATTCCTTGCGTCCAAAATTTCCACTTTTCGTGGAGAGTTTCAATATTGAAAACCAAAGTAATGTAGAAGTTGTTGTGTTGTTGGTATACATAATTGTCAGAATTCAAGTGAGGGTATGTTTGGAAATGATATTGCTTTAGTTCAATTATGTGGCCAATGGTCTAATCGTTTGAATTATGATTACTGTTTTATTGGTGGGTTATGTTATTTTGTGAATTTGTGGCTCATTGTGTAACTATACGATTATGATTCGGAGTTGTGGGTATGTGGTGCTGTCTTGTGAACTTGGCAGTTTGTTGGGAGATAGCATGTGTGGCTGTTGGTTTAGCTGTAGGATTATGCTTCACCTGTGGCTTGTGATTTTATTTGGTGACTTTGGGAGCTGCACGCCATTCTAGAACTAGCAAAGGTGGTGCCATTTTTGGAGTTCAAATCAGACAGTAAGGTGATATTTTTTGTTGAATTTAGAAATAATTCACACTATCTACAAATGGGAATTGAATGTGGAAAATCACCCTCTTTGTTTGGTTGGATACTGGCATGTTCTTATGTTACTGTTTCTAGTGGTGACTGACAAAAGGATGACCATTCCCTTTGTTTTCTCTAGTTCTCAAAAACCATAATGCAAAGGTCAACTGTGCACGTTCAATTTTAATGCTGTAGCAATTTCATTTTTATGGGTGGAATTTCAAACCATCACCAGATTATTTAAAAAAAAAAGAGTTTTACCTCTGCTTTTAAGAAAGGAAGCATCCGATACAAGACTGGGGTTACCAGTTTAACCAGCACAAGACCAACCAAGGCCAAAACAGAAACTAAGCAAAAGAGAAACATTAGGCCTCTATAGGCATACACCAGACAAGAACTCCAAAACATCGCTACAGGCGCTAGATTTCGCCAACATCAGGGAGCTCCACCACGCTGGGCTTGAAGGTCTTCATCCATTGCATCACGCCCTCCACCACATGCCTGATGCGCTCCCGATCCACTTCCTTTAGCAGAATGATCATCACCAGATGATTATTCTTCTCTGTTTAGTTCAAGTTGGTACTTTTCTTCCTTAATGTTTGTTGTGGCGAGAGGATACTCCCTTCAGTTTCTTTATTTTTTTTTCTATAAAATGATAATGCAGTTTTGATGCCAGCTAATGTTGAATCAACTTATGACAAACAAAAAAATCTTGGACACATTTGTAGGACAACGGTGACATAGTTGATGCCAAGATTTCAGAATCTTTAATTCTCTATACTGTGTTCTGAGTTACTTTATGCACTGTTTCATCCATATCAAATTAAATCCTGTGTTGTTTAGATAATGATGATGGAAGTCAAGGCACTTATTCGTAGGCTTATTTTTGCTCTGAAAGCTTTTTTTCAACATTGATAATTGTATGTATCCTAGCTAAGATTGTTTGATTGTGGTCTGTAACTGTAACCAGAAAGCACCACCACCACTGCAACAAAAATATATTTTAGTCCCAAGCAAGTTGGGATAGGCTAGAAATGAAACCCACCATCAGTCACCAACATGTTATGAACCTTAGTTCATTTGGGGAATTGGAGGATAACCATTGCCAGGAGGAAGGCCGGGCAAAGTCGGCATGGTGGGAGACTAGAGCATTTGGGGGAATTGGATTCGCGGCGAGGTTTTACCCCTCAGCGCCCTGTTGTTGAAGAAGGGGAATTGGGAGATAGAATTGTCTTGTTATTGCTTAATCCCCATGAGAGCTGGTACATGGATATATATAGGCACTTGGCCTGCTAAATAAAGTGACTCCATAACTCCCCATAAATCCCCTAATTCTTGCCTTCCTTGCATGCTGATCTGCATGCTGCTCCTTGATTGCTGCTGGCGCCATATGGGCGCGGTCACCGCCCTTAAATCTTGCCTTCCCTGCATGCTGATCCGCAGCTGCTCCTTGCTGCTCCTTTGCTGACCAAATCTGGCTGCGGTAATTGCGCCCCCTCTGGACACCATGCAGCCGGTCACCATGCAACCCCCGGCTGCCCCACATGACACAACAAGAGGGAAAAAGAAGAGATATGGTCATAGTGTGTGCCCAGTGAAAATTGTGCATTCGATTCTTTTTTTTTACATGACGATCTTTGTTAAAAAAGGGCGTACCCAGTGCAGAGAGCTCCCGCTCTATGTGGGGTCTAGTGAAGGGTGTCAGTGGCAAGCCTTACCCTCGCCTGTGCAATGCGAGGAGACCGCGACTCGAACCCGGGACCTTCCGGTCACAGGCGGTAAGACTCTACCGCTTGCACCAGGCTCGCCCTTCACATGACGATCTTTGTCCTCAATAATTTTATCGCTAGAGTCTGCTTTCCTATATTTGTATTCATTAACTTTTTATCAACAACCTACATAAGCTTCTATCTGGGATATACTAAACTATAGTTGTATTTATTGTTGCTAACTGTGGTTTCTGTATTTTCTGTTAATATTAGGAAGCTAGAGCTCTCCTCGGGAGACTGGAATATCAGAGAGGCAATGTGGAAGCTGCTCATGAGTATTTGATGGAATTGACCTTCAAGCTGCTATTCAGCGCTTCCAACCATCTCTTTCTGAAAACCACTCTCGGTTTAAATAACAAATTACGGTCAGGTTCATCAAATTCAGGATCACAGCATGCTGCTAGCCTTGTTCTTGAAGCCATTTACTTGAAATCAATGTCTCTCCAAAAGTTGGGCAAGGCAATGGGTATGAATTGTTCATCTCACTATATAATTATATCAATTAGCCAATTAGGCTTATCTGACTTTCTGAAGCCATTGACTTGCAGAGGCTGCTAAACAGTGTAAAAGTGTCCTTGATGCTGTTGAAAGTATCTTCCAATGTGGCATACCTGGTGTTATGGTTGAACAAAAGCTGCTAAACTGTCAGTAAATCTGTTGAGCTTCTCCCAGAACTTTGGAAGCAAGTTGGGGCCTATCAAGAAGCACTTGCTTCATACCGCCGTGCTCTTCTAAGTCAATGGAATCTCGATGATGAATGCTGCACAAGGATTCAGAAGAGATTTGCTGTTTTCTTGTTGTACGGTGGTGTAGAGGTGGCCCCCCCGAGCTTGGCTTCACAAACTGAAGGTTCATTTGTTCCTAGGAATAATTTGGAAGAGGCAATCCTATTGCTCATGATACTATTGAAGAAGTGGTTCCTTGGGAAGACACACTGGGATCCATCTGTTATGGAGCATTTAACTTTTGCATTGTCACTATGTGGCCAGACATCTATTCTTGCCAAGCACCTCGAAGAGGTTTTACCTGGAATATACCCTCGAACTGAGAGATGGTATAGTCTAGCGTTGTGCTATTTTGCAGCTTCTCATAATGAAGCTGCATTAAACTTGTTGAGAAAATCTTTGAATAAGAACGAGAGTCCGAATGACATAATGGCCCTTCTGTTAGCTGCCAAGATATGCAGTTCCAGTTATCTTCTTTCTTCTGAGGGTGTAGAGTATGCAAAGAGAGCAGTCAAAGACGCTGAATCATCAGATGGCCATTTAAAGAGTGTGGCCCTCCATGTTCTGGGGAGTTGCCTGTCCAAGAAGTCTAAGGTTGCTTCATCTGATCACCAAAGATCTCTCTTGCAGACTGAGGCTTTGAAGTCACTTAATGAGGCAATTTCTCTTGACCATCACAACCCAGAATTAATATTTGACATGGGGATTGAGTATGCTGAGCAGCGGAACATGCATGCTGCCTTGAAATGTGCGAAGGAGTTCATTGATGCAACTGGTGGATCTGTCTCTAAAGGTTGGAGGTTGCTATCGTTGGTTCTTTCTGCACAACAAAGGTATTCGGAAGCTGAAGTTGTGACTGATGCGGCATTAGATGAGACCGCGAAGTGGGAACAAGGGCCATTGCTTAGAATAAGGGCTAAATTGAAGGTTGCTCAATCATTGCCCATGGAAGCAGTTGAAGCATATCGCACCCTTCTTGCTCTTGTTCAGGCACAACGAAAGGCTTATGGATCTGCCAAAAATGGCACAGAGGTTTGTCTTCTCAAATACTAAAGATCATTTTTTAGTTTGCACAGTGTTTTTATTTTAATGGGATGTTTGAGATTTCTGTGAACATGCTTGAAATCCTTATTTGCTTGTAAAAGAAGCTTTTGAGATTCTTAGATGTAAAAAGACTACCTTTTCCCTAAGGTGTCCAGAATTCCAGATTCTCGCACTGAAAAGTGTTATCCAAAAGATTTGTTCTTGAAACTGCATTTATGTTTGTCCAAAAGAGAGCTGTTTTGGTGTTTGTATTAACTGCTGAAGTGGACTAACATAGATGCACCCTATCTAGAGTCTAATTTCATCTAATTACATTTCTTGTACCTTAACATATCTTCTTGATGTCTAATTCTATGTGAACACTCTGTCAGGATGACGAGGATAAAGTGAGCGAATTTGAAGTTTGGCAAGGTCTTGCCAACTTGTACTCTAGTCTTTCCTATTGGAGAGATGCAGAGATTTGCTTACAGAAGGCTAAAGCCCTCAAAACATACTCTGCAACAACCCTTCATGCAGAAGGTGAGGAAACTTTGTTACAACTCATGTTTCATTAGTGATGCCTATGCCTCTGGCTAATGGGGATGTACTTAGTTTGAAATGTATCGTTCATGTCTGCCTGTTTGTATATTTGTATGTTATCATAAATGGCTATTAAATAATAATTCATTTACAATGCATACTGTCCACCCTTTTTTTGAACTTTTAATGCTCATATAGGCCAGATATTTGTAAGCCTGAGAAGTTGATTATATCTTGTGTTTGTTGTTGCATATATCTGATCCTGTGATTCCTCGCCTTTCCCCAGGTAACATACATGAGGTGCACGAGAAGACACAGGATGCGCTGGCTGCATACTTCAACGCCCTCTCTATGGAGGTAGAGCATGTCCCATCCAAGGTCTCTATCGGTGCCCTCCTCTGTAAACAAGGGCCCAAGTTCCTACCTGTGGCGAGGTGTTTCCTCTCAGATGCCCTAAGGCTCGAACCCACAAACCGAATGGCTTGGTTCTACCTGGGGGAGGTTCACAAGCAGGACGGCAGGCTAGCTGATGCCGCGGATTGCTTCCAGGCGGCCTCAATGCTTGAGGACTCGGACCCTGTAGAAAGTTTCAGATCACTCTGATGGGTCATCTGCAACAACATGAAGTTTCCTTTTTTGTCGGCTAATTTTCTCTTCTTCGACTTTCCCCATTTTCAAAACATAGCTGGGCAGAAACCAGGTGCCCAGCTATCTGTAACTTGTTGTATCTGCAGTTGCCAGTGTTTACCATGCACTGTTCTTGGAGACCAACAATGCTGAGTGGTATTATACGTACAAGATTCTTCAGCCGATAGCTCCATCAGGATCAGAGGCACTGAAACAGCTATGTAATGATATGAGCCATTGTTACATATATTACACAATATGATTATAACGAGTCATCAGCTAACTTAAAACCAGCGTTGCTGATATTGTAATGTTTTATTATTTTTGTTTCTGTTTTGTTCTTCAATTGCCTCATGTGCTTCAGGGGAACGAGTTTACATGAAAAGATGCTTGTTTGTAGAACGTACAGAGAATGATATCCTGAAAGTTCAGCGTTATAAGAGGAGTACTGAAAGCCTGAACATGCAAACACATCTATAGAATAAATTCACAATCTGAATTTTACAAGCTATAGAATAAATTCACGATCTGAATTTTACAAGATCAGTTACTTGAAGACAGCATACAAACAGTCAAGATCAGTTACTTGAAGACAGCATACAAACAGTCAACTAGTTAAGCACGGAAGAAGGGTACATGCAAAACCAAGATAATGCTATGATGCATATGCATCCGTGGGATTTAGACGCCTACGGACTCCACTTTCTTGGCGTGATCTTCCAGCCACGCCTGCTTCCACGTCCGAGTCACGACAAACTCGAATGGTATGCCGAGCTCCTCTAGGTCCTCCGGGTATATCGTCTCATCGGGCAGCGCCGACTTCTCCATCTCCAGCAGCATCTGCCGGAACTCCTCCCTTGCGGCTGCGCGCGCAAGCTCGGAGGAACGCGGAGGCGTGGGCGCGGCGGGTCGGCTCCCCAGCGTTGTCGCCCGAAGTAGCGGCGGGAGCCACCGCGGCGACGACGCCCCGCTGCCGGTCGAGGAACGCGGTGGCGCCGAAGCCTGGAGCGGCGGCGCGGGGAGCGAGGCTTCACATGGCGATCGAAAGCAGGGAAAGGAAGAAAGATAGGTGGTGGGCGGATGGATGGATGGATCGGCAACATGGGCGCCGTATTTATTACCCGGGCAGCGCGCACCGGCCGGCGAGATTGTCTCCGACTTGGAGTTGAAGTCGGTCGGCGAGCGGAACGCGGTTTCGAGGATGCCGCTGCTCCGACTCCGATAGGAGCCGGCCGGGGTTTTGGATCGCGAACGCATGCAAGAAGCTCGCGAGCTGGAACCAGGAAGCCTGCAACCAACCGACATGGTTTGGCGCGTGTCGACATTGACGATCGCACCGCCGCCGTGTGCTCAACGCTATGGTAATCAGAATCGGGGACGAATCCGATCGGTGAAACGAAAACGGAAATATAGAATGTCGGAAATGAAACAATTCGATCGAAAACACAGATATTTCAAATCAGAGAGCTCGAGAAACAATACTAAAACAAGAGTAAAATTTGATTTATCTCTCTGAACTAATCACCGAATTTACAATGCGTCCTCGAACTCTAATGCCAGATGAGAGACACATTAATTTTCAAAACCAGGTAAAATACCCCCATCGATCATTTTAAAATGGGCTTTTGGGTGGTTTTGCTGCCTCCGGAGCGCACATGTCAGGTCTTTTTTCTTTGTTTTTGGGAATCACAGTATAGACACTCGTACGTATATGTACACTGAACCCTATCAAAAAATAATAACTTTTTTTTATATAAAGTTAGATAAATACAAACTACATATCAAAATTGTAGGGTTGATGCGATCTATAACTCTGTAGTTGACAATTTTTTTAATGAGATGTTTTAGTTGCTTAAATATTCGTTCGTTATCACATTTGAATTCTAATTTTTTAATTTTCAAATAACCTAGAAATAGAATGTTGACATGGTCTATACTAAAGTTTTAGGCTCAATGCGATCTAAATTTGTTGTTCACAACTTTTTTTGTTTGAGATCGATTAGATGCCTAGATATCCGTTTTTAAGTTCTCAGATCTTGAAATTTATATATTTTTTAAAAAATTTCAAATGACCTTGGATGTTTTTATTTTGCGATTACACAACACTCAGAACGAAAGCACACTCACATCTATGAATGCATGCACGCAAACCCTACACATATGAGCATCTTCGAAGACTGGGTCGTGAAATCCTTGAGATTGACGAAGTCACCACAGACGCCTCGCTATCGACGGAAATGTCGCCTACCACTGAAAGCACAAATGCCGTTAAATCTGGACCTGAGGTGCTACTGAGGCTCTTATAACTACCAGGCTACATACCCTTTCGCAAATGACCTTGGATGTTAATGTGGTATATACCAAAGTTGTAACTCTAAATGTGATCTAAAAGTTTGCAGTTGACAACATTTTTTTCCAAGATCATTTAGATGCCCAAATATTTGGTTTAATTTCAAAGATTTTAAAATTCATTTTTTAAAATTTGTTGAACGAACTTGTACATTGACATGGTTTATACTAAAGTTATAGATCTCAATGCGATCAATAACTTTGAACTTGAACTTTTTTATTTGAGATTATTTAGAGGCAAATTCAAACTTTTAAAATTTCTAAACAACCTTGAATGAAGACATACTCTATATTGACTTTTTTTGTGTTTGAAGAGATCTGAAGCTTTCTAGTCCATTGAAGGGACCGTGACACCTAACAGGGAAATGAATTAGGCAACTTAAAATATATTTCTCAAACTATGGCCTCTAAAATTTGCCTAGTCAAAACTTATGCAATAAATAATCTATCTAGATATGCAACTAAGATTTTGCTAGGTATATTATTATATCTATCGCAAATATTTATGCAACCTAGGTTCCAATCCTATCAACTAATCTATCAATCTAAGCTTGGAAAGTAAGCACACAACCATGGTTGACGGTCCCACCGTAAGGGACTGGTTTGTGGGCCCGAGCCCCAAACCTTGTACCGCATGATCCGATGGCCACCTTTCACACGCATCCACACATTTCGATGCTGGCGATCCCACCATAGTGACCCGGTCCCACCATGAGGATCAGTAGCAACCCATTTCCTTCCCTTCGCCTTTGTTCTCCATGTCCTTTGTTCCAGGCTTCTTCGTCTCTGTGTCTTGGACTTCTAACTTCATTTTGTGGTATTCAAATATGCTCTTAAGGTCTTACTTGAGGTGTTGATCATTCGGATCACCATTTTACCTTGGTTGAAGTCCAATTTGCATCCTATCGAACTATACCAAATATACTAGCAAACAATATTAGTCCAAATAGTCATATTGATCATCAAACACAAAAAACCAAAATTAATGGCCTATAAGATCATTTCCATTGCATTCAAATTTTGTCATTTAGGACCCCAAATATTCAATAAAAGATGGCATAACTAAAAACAGAAGACATGTGTGACCCACGTGTCATGTTAGCCAACACCACAATCAAAACCACTGTGAACTATCCTGGGTGTAATTTATTTGTTTTGAAACAAGTTATCTGATATAAGAGATCAAGGGTGTTTTCTAAGTTTAGAATTTAGTGAGTTAGATCTGACTTTACCCATAAACAATACCAATTTGTGATATTTGTATTGTTACATATATCATATATTATACATAATATTTGTATGAGATTTCACTTAGCATATACCATAAACAAACATCAAATATTATTTTAAATTTTTATAGAATACCTAAAAAATACGAACTGCAAAGAAAATAGAAAAGAATCAATGGATGCCCAGGTTTTTTGGGCCACTCAGCTTGTTCGCTTGCTCGTAAACGATCGTAAATTTCCAGCCGGGAATAGCAGTAAATAATCCACGATACGACACGGCCTCCCGAACAGTCAGGCATAACACGCCAAGTTACTACATCCTAGCCCAAAAAGTAGTCCATGTTGTAAGCAGTAGCGTGTTGCTCAAGTAAATTAGTGCTGTCTTTAGTTTAGTTTTTGGAAAATACTTTTGGTTTGTTAAAATAACGTCAACCAAACAGGTAGAATCTGAAGATGTTTTTAGAAGCTGCTGCTTTAATTTTTGTAGTAGTGCAACTTTCGCAGCACCCTTAACCTTGTAGTTGTTTCAAGAGAGATAAAAAGAGAGATTATGTTTCATAGTTGTTTTAACCAAACACCTGTAGCTTTTCCACAATATATAGAACTATAGATCGTGACAACTTTTCTATAGTTCACAACTGAACCAAGAAAACCCTAAGATAAGGCGTTTGGTTGGTGGAAATGTAACGGGATATGATTACACGGGTAATGAATTGCGTTATCATGCGTTTGTTTCAGCTACCTCGGTAAATGAGTGCCTCACAATCCGATATGGGCAAGTGCAAATCAGATACCGCTCAAAATCAAGTGTAATCGAATGTCGTTTAGGCTGTAGAGCAGTTGGGCTCACAGATATGCAGTCAAGGCAACTCCTGGCGTTCTGCATCTTCACATGGGCACATGAGCTGCTGAGCAAGCTCCACTGTCGAGGACGCGAGAGCAGCGAAGCTTTTTCGATTCCATTACCAGACTAATTAAACCAAACAAAAGTCGTGATTTGATACATCGGTTACGGTGCCACCATAATTTTATTTCATTATCGTTTGCATTTACATTTGTCAACCAAACAACACCTAACAGCCTGTTCGGTTGGCTGGTTCGTTTCGTGGCTGGTTCGTGAAGAAGTACTGCTGACTGGTTTGTGTGAGAGAAAAATACTATTCTGACTAGAAATTTACGATCGTTTACGACAAGCCACAGCCAAACGAACAGGCTGTAAGCCTCTTAGTCCTAAGTAGTCCATGCTGTGAGCACTGTGAGCAGTAGCAGTATACAAGGGAAAAGTTTTTTTTGCGACTTATACAAGGAAAAAGTTGGGAAAGTGAAACAGGACTTCTTGATAAAAAAAAAATGAGAACAGGAAAAATGGCCAGGAGAAACATCCTACTGTTTTCGCTC